GCCATTATGAAGAGAATTATTAATTATTTTCCCTCACTGTCTTCATTAAAGTTCTTGAGGAACTGCATTATGAAGAATGAGAGGAAAAATCACTTTTCATTTCATCTAGTGCAGGCCCCATGTTTCATGAAAAAATTGCAATTTATAATTAAAAGTCAGGAAGACTCAAGATGTACATTGTCAGACATTTGTAACTGTACTACTAATATTCAGCCACCATTCACTAGAAGATACTCTCTCTTTATGTGCAACATTATATTCTTCTCCTTTTTAAGACTGGTAGAGATATGCAATCAGAAGAAATTCAGAACATCATTTCTGGGAGTTTATTGTTGAAATATATTACACTGTTAAGTGTTCAGATTGCACATTTGGCAGACAGAGTAACTACTGTCAGTGCATACTCACAGATGGAGACTACTTTTGGTTGAAGGATGGAAGATGAGATGGGACTGCAACAAAAGCATGTACATCTGTGAACTTAAGCTAGCAGAGTAAGGAGTAAACCACTGACACTCTACCTCTCACTATCTTTAAAATATACCATTCTACCTATTTTTAAAATATTCTAAAAGTCTTAGTGTTTGAAACTGGGAGTGAATAGCTTTTCTGTGCACTACTTCCACCTCCCATCATAGAAAGTAAAAAGACTAAATTTCCTGAGTTTTGAAAACATTTCCATTCAAACATTGCTTTGTCTGTCAGGCGTGACTGTTTTGGGCCTTTCCTGGGCACTGCAGCAGAGCTGCTGTTGGACATCTGTAATAGGGGCAGTTCTGCCCTGGCAGGCTGGCAGCAAAGCAAGGATGTGAAGGAGAAGCGTGATTGTGAGCAAGCACCAGCCCTGCAAGGCAATCTTGGTTGAAAGTCTCATAGCAGCTTGTTTATCTTTGCAGAAATTAATTTGCCTATGCAGGAGTGGAGAAGAGAGGATAAGGACTGATACATATCCTAAGAAATCTGACTTGAAGGAAATGAAATTGTCTGTTTATATTTCTGGTGCTTATTCAGACAGCACTAAGATAAAAAATGTTTTTAGCCTCACTGAAACCTTTGCTTTTTTTATCTGGAAGAACAAAGGGAACACATTGAAGGGAGCATAGAACCAGGGCTGATTTTGCCAGAAACAAACTTACCTACCACAAAGACCCCACGAAGGAATCCAGGAAAATGCCACCTCATATCTCTGCTCTGCATTTGCTGCAGGTCTGGCTGAGATAAGTTGTATCCATTCAAGGTACTGCAATAAAAGCGCTTCAGAAATGGCCTCATTTTTCAAAAGTTTTATTGTTAAGTTTGAAGACTAGACAAGGTCATACTGGTTTTACATCATCCTACATGATTTAAGTATATACAAAACCATTTGAATATCACACAGCTTGAAAGGTTGCAAAGGTCTTTGTGTCCAAGACACTTCTGTACTTACTGACACATCAGAAGCCAGCACTGAATATTATAGATCATATTTGTTGTATAGCAAAGATACACCAATTTAGTATCCTTAGTCTTCAAAACACACATGTATTTGTATGCAGCCATTCCCAAAGAGAAAGTCAACCTGGTGACCACAGCCAGGTAGCATGATAAGCCCTTCACACAGATAAAACTGAGCCTGGTGCCAGTGCTTGTTTTCCCAGGCTAAAAACATAGCATGCTGAGGAGCCGCAGAATAGTGCCTACTTAGCTGGTTCAGAATGAAATTTAATTAAAAGTGTACTTTCACTCCTGTTCAATGCCACCGTCACAATACCGAAGGATCCTTTCGAAGTGTTTTTCCACTTATCCTTTATGTGCTTCTCTTTTTGGTATGCCAATTGCTTTTTTCACTGGGAAAGTATGGCTGTGTTAGTTGTTTATTACTTGTCCCTTCTGTCAGTAGTTTTCATGCACAAAGAGAGGAGAGTAAAATAAAGGGAAAAACCATAATACCGGACCACATCTGGTATCAAGAATTATTTCAGTATGAAATAACAGTAGGAATACAGTTTGGTTTTATGGCTGCTTAATATCATTTAAGGAAAGTTTTTGGCAGCTAAGGAATAATTTCAGTAATAAAGCCACAGCACACTGGCTGAAAGTGTCGGGGCATCACCTATATGATTTATTTATAAATTATTGGAGCATGTTATTATAAAGTACAAAGCTTTGTTTTCAGGTTGTGAAAGCTACTGGCACATGGAAGCTAACACAGAGGAAAAGAATGAAATTACTAAACTCCAAGTTAATGCAAAATGAAGTGACTATTTTAGGTATTCTAACAACATTACTTTTATGTGCAGATAAATGGTTAACAATCAAATTATCAATGGAATACAATACCAAAAGTTGCAAAGCATGACAAAAATAATCACTTGAAAATGAATATTCCAAAACAAAACTAAAAATATTTGATGAACTAGAGACTCCAATTTGCAGAAATGCCTCCCACTTTTAGGTTACACAGTCCATTAGATAGATGGCTATTCTTACAATCTATAAATAAATACTCAGTTGCTATCTTACAACTGAAAAATGGTTTCAGACTTCTTTAAATACTGTGTGTCCTTAAAAACATTTTTTTTGTGTTTGTTTTTTAATGAAGAGCTTGAGGTGCAAAACATTGACAGTGGTTAACTTAAGAATACAGTTTTTCTCCAGAATTTTACGTATCCCCATGATTGACTTTCTCTTTAAAATCACTCACTATGCTTGAAGACCACCTTATATATACATCATTAAGGAATGCTGTTAACACAGTTACAGACAAGACATTAACAGTCTAGTGGCTTTTGTTATGCAGCACAAAGTAAAAAATAAAGAACGAACTTAGCAGTGTTGCACAGGACTTCAACATTTCTTACACATACTTTCACCTTTATAAGACTTTCCTGTAGAAGTCTTTATATGTCTAAGCCTTATAAAATAAATACTTGTATAAATACAGTTTAAGGATTAAGTCATTTTATAGAGGCAGGGTGTTCTGTTTGTTAAAATGTGACAGTTTAAGTGACGCTATCCGAAAACCGCCACCTATATATCCCCAATTCTTGCAAGTAAAATTCCTGGCTGCTAATCTAGGGTCTTTCACAGTTAAATGGATTATATATTTTCTCTGTGGTGGAGAATGTGTGATTAAATGCAGGTTTTGAAATCCAAACCGTTTTGTTTCCAAAGCAAACTTTTCCCTTTGCAGACTGTGGGCCAATGGGGCATTTGTCTGGGAAGCAGGACTCAGGCTCATACTTCAGCAACGGTGACAGAAAGTAAGTTCAGTGATATTTGCTAAAACATGCAGCTGTATATATATATGTATAATTAATTTATATCTTGCCATCAGCATGTTATGAAGTTAACAGTGTGATCCCATGTGCCATTATTTCAGGTAGCAAATATAACACCTCCTAACTCCTTGTCCCAAGGTCTTAAAGATTCTGATGCTACATTGTCATGGAGCACCTTGTGCTTAGGAAGCTCAGAGTGCTTCACAAGGTTGGTATAATTATCTCCATCACTGGGCTGAGGTTACTGCCCAGCAAACAAACACCAGAGCCATGACTGCAATGTCCTTCCCCATCCCCTTCTCTCACTCTTGCTGCTCAGCTACCTCATGCACCAAGTCCATCGGCCTGTCTGGTTTCTAGATCCTATAAGGCATAGCAGCACCCTCCCCCTCCACCTAATTGGATCTGCACTACCATCCAATGCCTAACTGTACTTCTAGCATCTTTCAAATTCCATCACTGTTCAATTTTTTTCTGGGTCCTAGGGCCCTAGCTGGCCATACTTTCTTAAAATAGCATATTATGAAGCATTTCTGTAGATGAAGCATGACAAAGATCAGCCTTCTTGTGACTCAGTGGCATACTCAGCAAAGACACAGCTGGGAGAAGAGGGAACCAAGTGCCCAAATCTGGTGAACTCCTACAACACCTCTTGCCTCCATACTTGGGAGAAAGAACATGACTGGTGCCATTAGAAAGGCCCAGCAAGAGGCCCAGCAGCAAGGAGGTAATTCCTTCCACTTGCTTCATGGCACCTCATTCCTTCATACCACATGCCTCCTTGCAGGAAGGAGGTTTCTGAAGGAAGAAGATGGACAGCTCCATCTAGGGCAGTTTACTCCTGGGTAAGTCATGAAATGGGTTCAGGTTTTATGCACTGCACTGTGCCTTTACCTTTGCATTTACTGAGGACATGGAACTACAAGTACCCCCCTGTCTCACCTCAGCCTCCTTGCAAGAACACCATTCAAGCAGAATTAATATACTTTGGCAAAGTCATTAACTTCATAATGTACTGACAGCAAATTTTGTTCCATATACAAACAGGTGTTTCAAAGAAAATAACAGTGATACTGAACAGAAAGGATGAAGGTTATGTCTCTAACATGCAAAATTGAGAAGGAACATGGGGCTAGCTAGGAAAACCCTTTAGGTGAATGGACTCTGCTGATTAGATAAGAATAATGAAAGGTAGCTAGTAATATCACAGGTACTGTATTTTACGGTACCACAAAGTATTTTCCAAAATATATGTCATAAATACTGACAGTGTTTGATAGGCACAATTACTATAATGCAGTCATCCCCAAGTAAACTTATTGCTAAAAGCTGCAGTATCACTTTTTGCAAGTAAGATGACAGTATGATTTATGGAGAACTTGTCAGCCCAATGTTACTGAAGCTGCAAATGAGCTTTGTCATGCTCTTTCTCTTCCCTTGTAAAAAGGATGCTGCTGTTTTTCCCTAACACATTTCAACTAGTGTGAACAAATTAAAGGAGAGCTAGAAAGATAATGCCACAGCAAAAGGGACAACACTAACATATTTCAAGGACAAAATCGGATTGGATCATTTAAAGGGCAGGCTTAGACCTCCTTGCGAAAGACATTTAGCGGCCTACCACAAAATGAGCACTTGATCATGAAAAACCCACTCAGCTTCCTACAGGCTTTGCACAGTTTCTTCTACGAAGGGACTGGTAGGGGTACTGAGAGCTGCGATGCCCAGCAGTACCCCACCTCAGTCCTCCTCCGTGCAGCCCAGCAGCTCTGACCGCAGGGTGATCCGGCCGTACCATGACCACGGGATAATGCGGATGTGCCGGGCATAGATTGGAGGGTCAATGACGTTCTTCCGGTGAGTGTCATTGTCAAAATTTCCCTGGAAAACCTAGAAGGCAAGCAGCAAGAAGGTTGGTGCCTGGATAGCCAAGCATGAGCACTGAGAAATGACTGGGTTAGGAAAGCTCCAAGAGAGATATTCCTTCACGGCTGACACTTGCTGGGTTCAAGGAGGACTATTCTTTTACACACGCTATTTTACATACCTTGGTACTTCTTGGACTAGTGTTTCATGAGACGTCTGACAAATACTGGCCCAATCATAGAGCAAAACGACATTCCTCCTTAATGAAGGTCTACACAGTGTTATTTCTCAGATAGAAGGGAGTAATGTCTTATTAAAACATCAGATACCTGAAATTGAAAAGTAACGTCTAGAACTGACATTAATGGGATCCAAAAGGAAGTGACAAAGTGAGTGAAGAGCCTGAAACTTCACAAAGCAGAGCCAAAGGAGACAGAAAAACCAGAAAAACCCTGGGGCCAGAGAAAGGACCCTACACATGTGACTCAGGGTCTGTATGGGTGCTGGACCTGCACACCTGGCTAAGATGTGAGGTGCAGATTCAGCCCACAGTTCAAATCACCATTACCATTTTAAAAATTAACTACCTTTTTACTTGGCATCTGTATCATGTCAAGTTAATCCTAGGAGATTCTGTTACTGTTTTGGATGAAGTAGCATTAGAAGGATACTTACTCACCAATGCTGCTTGGATGCCATTGCATAAGTTGTGATAAAGTTAGTGACTAAAAGGGACACTATCATATTCTGTTGAAAAATGTTACCATAAGCATTAATAGCATTGGTAAGCAGTTCGTGATTCAATTAAAAATATCTTAACACAGTCTAAGGTATGTAAATACATTATTTCCAATGGCATGTGTTAGTCAATATATCAGTGAGTTCCAAAACTCTGATCCGTGTTAGAACAATGCCAATTGTTTCTCCTAAGAGCTGTGATTCAAATTCAAAGGACACAGCATTTCTTTTTCAGCAAAATGGTCAGATCACCCTCCTGAGATATTTTTGGTTTATACGGGTAATCTTCAATGTCTTCAAATGTCTTTTCATTTACAAAAACATTATTTGATGTCTTTTTGACTTCAAATGATTGATTTTCATTTGCATAAGGCACAAAAGGAGTATGATCCTCTAGAACAAGTGCTTATGTGACTGAATTAGTACAGAATGAAAAACTTCTTTGAAGTTCTTAGGAAAAATGTCAGAGGTTGAATTCAGAAGAGAATTTTAGTCTACTAAATTTTCAGAAGAGAATTTAGACTACTATTTTAGTCTTTAAGCTTCTCTCAAGTGCTATCAGTTTGGCATTTTCAGGAAAACATGTACGCTCCACAAGTGATGCACTTTCATAGGTGATACATTTCCCTCCTTGCCTGGAATCTCAGCATTCAAGCTCCCAGCAGTTAAGATAAACAGATAAAATTTCAAAAAGACTGGCCACAGAAACACAGTGCTGTGACTCTAGGGAAAAAAAAAAAAGAAGCTTTTTGGTCAGGAAAAGTTGTTTGTTGTCCAAGTATAGTCTAGTCTTGATTACATAAATTAGCTAGAGCTTGGCTAAGATTTCATCTGAATTTGAGTATCATTTGTATCAATACAGCATACAATAAAAGAAAGCAAACTCATTAAAATTAGCAAGGTGCAATCCACAGCAAGGAAAGCTTAAAAGTAAAAGATTCTTCCCTTTGATTTCTTGCACACACATGCAATTTATCTGTTTTTTTTTTGTTGTTGTTGTTATTTTTTTTTGTTTGTTTGTTTTTACCAATTCAGACGATAAGCAATGCAGAGCCACAAACAATTCTTGCTGCAGAGCAACAGGAAAATTCTTTTATTCTCTATTTCATTTTTCCTGTGGAAGACATCTCAGAAGTAGCATTTTGACTAAGACTTAGAACAAAAAAAGTCTTTGTTTACCAGAAGAATCCATCTACTCGCTATCCATACCCACAAGCATCTGTGCAAAGTGAAAATATCTGAATCAAACTAAGGAACAAATACAGATGAAAGAGTTGGATTATACTATTTTTCCTAGAGCCACAAAAGTGTATGTAAACTCACACACAAAGTCATTATTACCTGAAATTAAACTCACCTGTTTCAGATACTAATTTTATGCAAAAATTTACTATCCTTCAAAATTCAAGATACAGTCTCAGGAAATTAAAATTGCTAGATCAGAGCAAGGATTTTAGGAAAACAGATTTATCAAATAACAAGAGAAGCTTTGCAAACTACCCCAAATGTGACTGGCATGAAATATAACATTTCATGAGCAAATTATACTGGATGTGTTGCTGTAGACCAGTGGCAAATTTAGAATCATAGAATCATTAAGGTTGGAAAAGACCACACAGCTCATCAAGTTCAACCATCAACCCATCACCACCATGCCCATTAAACCGTGTCCCACAGTGCCACATCTACTCTTTTCTTGAAAAACGCCAGGGATAGAAAATTTACTACTGAATTTTTCATTCTTCATTTTACCTCAGCTTAAGCTCACTAATGAAGTCAAGAAACTTGGAAGAAAGGAGGAGGTATGATAGATGTCTATAAAATCATAAATGGCATGGAGATCAATCACAGACAACACTGCATTGTCCCCATAGAATGAGATGAATGAGCCACCTAATGGTCATGCTGCTTCACACACCGTGTAATTAAACTGTGGTACTCTTTCTCACAATATTTAGATATTAGTAAAGTGAGATAAACTGCTAGGGGTAGGATCTATAGCCAAGGACTATAGAACAGCAGGTAGAAGAGTGCAGGAAACTGGGAAGACATCTGCTGGAGGATGCTTGCTCCCTGGTACAGGCAGGTCACACAACAGGGCAGCTCCTAAATTACCAGGTATACCTGTGTATGTAAAAATGGATCTTCTAGTTTATTTTTATTTTTATACTGGAAATATCTCTTTATGTCGGGCTGCATACTTAAAAGGTGTAAGTTACTAAAACTTTCACTCAGAAGCTTCAGCAAGTTTACACGTACATATTCCCTACATACATATGTAGCTCCTCTGTATCTCAGTATTTTACAGCTGCTTTTAAAATAAAAAAGTAGAAAATGTATGATAGTGTGCTTTTATATATGATAATTTATGACCAGTTTGCAAAAAAAGAACACAACTGTAGAAAATACATACATAATGCTATTCTCTGCCAAAAAAGATTTCTGAAATATAAACAAGTCTTGCTTATAGCTGTGTCAAACGAGCTATTTGGTAGTCTTGCCTTTAAATACTCACTGAGATTTTTCATTAGAACTAAGCGTTTTATGCCCTAAGCAACATATCCAAATTATGCCAATGTAAATTGATTCATATTTTAAAAAGAGAACTGTAGTATGTTTTATGGCAAGATAATTTAGAATAACTATCTAAGGAAGAATAGCTTGGGAAAATTGAATTTATTATAACCAGTGCTTGCTGTAAATGTGGAGATTAAAAGCAGGTTTCAGGGCACATCTACCCGACTACTTAACAGGTGGGGGCAGTAGAATTGTTTGTTGCATTGTGTCAATGTATACCTCAGATATACGAAAATTCAGGGAGCCTGATTCTCTGCAGAGAATATTTCTGAATCTCATTTCTTACTGAGAAACTGAAATTACATGGAAAGTCTGCATTGGCCTTAGCATTAGTGGTTCCTGCTATTTGGATAATAGCAAAGAGCTGAGACTTTAACATCCAAGTCTCAGATGATGAAGTCTGTATACTGTCTGTTGAACGTTAACCGTATTTTTTGTCCAGAGTATTTCAAACAGGATCTTGGAACAGTTAATCCTGCTCATACAATCACAGAATCACCGAATCACCGAAGTTGGAAAAGACCTACGAGATCATCCAGTTCAATCATCTGCTTGTCACCAATAGTTCTCACTACACCATGGCCCTCAACACAACATCCAAACGTTCCTTGGACACCTTCAGGATTAGTGACTCCACCAACTCTCTGGGCAGCCCATTCCAGTGCCTGACCACTCTTTTGGAGAAGCAGTATTTCCTAGCGTCAAACCTGAATATCATATTAAAGGCAGACTTTTTAAAAAGAGTAATTAGATCTAGCTTCCATTTGGATTTTGCTTCAGTGCATTACATCTCATAAGTATGACAAATAAAGGGGAACTATTCATTTCAAGTATAAAAGAAAGCTGAATGAAAAATATTTTTGATAGTTATATTCCCTTCTTTCAGAAACATATTATTTCTTTATTGTCATTCATTGAAAAATACTTCTTCAAGCAAGAGTGAAATTTGCAGATCTGAACAATCCATTTAATTTGTGTTAAAAATTTTTGTTCTTGTTTGGTGGAGTATTTCTTTTCACAATGAAGAGCTACAAAGTTACAAGTGAATGGCATTAGGTCAAAGATGGTGAAAGATGTTCTGATTTCTTAGCAGAAAGAGAGCTGCTGTTCAGAGGCATTGTTTTACTTTAGAACAATTCACAACTGGAAGATGCTTTTCACTATAAAAGACTGTGCAGGCTTTTTAAATATAAATGAATATGTGTTCAAACAGACATGTTCATGCACCTGTGCTCATGTAGTGATGTAGGAGAAAAAAAAAGACATTCTTCCTTTTCAGTTGATATTCAGAAATTCTCTTTGCCAGTCTCACCTTTGTGCTGGGGAAGATGATAGGTCAGATCCTGCTGGAAGCTATGCTAAAGCCCATGGAAGACAAGGAGGTGATCCCAGACAACCAACATCATAGCTTCACAAGGGGCAACTTCTACCTGACCAACCTAGTGGCTTTTTTATAATGGCAGTCAATGTCTCAATGTCCAGGTGGAGATCAGTGACAAATGGTGTGCCTCAGGGGTCAGTGCTGGGACTAACACATTTTAATATCTTCATCAATGATACTGACACTGTCAGCAAATGTGTCATGACACCATGCTGTGTAGTATGGTCAACACACCAAGGGGACAGGATGCCATCCAGAGAAACCTAGACAGGCTGAGAAGCGGGCCCACATGAACCTCATGAGGTTCAACAAAGACAAGTGTGAAGTC